AATTGAAACGCTCAAGGCATAATCCCTATAAGAAAAAACAAAGCATACCCAATATTATCATATTGTTAGTGGTTTCTAGCCCCGTTGCTAAAATCCTAGTCTCATTGACTAAAATTATGAGTTTTCACATTGTGCTTTAGAATCAGTTTGGAAAAAATAATCCGGAGTATTTTTCTTTCCCACACAGTGGAGGGTACTACACCGAAGTTTAACATTAAAGACTGGCAGGGCTATCATAAAAAATTAAATGTTTATGTTAGTGCGAAACGGTTATACTCCAGGGCGACGTGATCTTAATAAAATACTATGTGGTTCCGCTTGCTAATACCCTGAACAAAATTTTTGATATTTTAAAACTTTTCTGCAGAAATTTGTGCAGTGCTTTCATTTTAGAGAAAACAGTCGATGTTTCTTGATGTTAATGCTATACTATGGGGAGTTTAAATTCAAGAACAACATGTTTCAAAGTTGGAACATGAAAGCACAGTAGAGCAGACATGTTCTATAAGCAACTTCGATTTAGATGATAATTTTTGAGTCATCAGTTTTTTTTAAAAACCGGTTTTTTTATGGTGCTAATATACAGCTTGCAGCTTGCATTTGTGGGATGATTCGTGAAAAATAATATATGTTTTTGACGCTCAATATTGATATTTTTTTCACTTGAACAACACTGAAAGGACGAGAACCGCCGAAACATTTTCTGCAAATGGGAAGCGCTCAATAAATAAGATTATAAATCATTGAGAATCGAGGACGGTAATATGAGGCAGACCTCAATATGATCTATATAAGCCATTGGTGCCCGCTTCTAAATTTTAAGAGCCCCTGAGGACAAACTCATATCACTTGTAATATTGAGTTGATGCAGTGTAGCTTCATAAACGAAAAATCCGCAGCTCGAGATATCAAACCTGTGGCCATCTAGCGCTATGCTGACTTTTCTTTTTTCCTACTTTTTGTTATTTTCTACCTGCACATTCCAAGTGATTTACTTGTTTTACAGATAAGGATTATAAAGCATAGATGCTCAGCTTTGTAATGCAATATTCTGAAAAACAATGCAATATCTTATTATTATTCTACGTTGTTAAAGAGTTATTCTCCTACCAACTAACACCTGAATTCAGTAGAGATGGCCTTAACAAGCATTATTATGCAGTTGTCCTCAGTTTAATCATAGTTCGACTGAGCGCAAATAGTACACAAAAAGATAAAACTAACTCTTGATTGTGGCCATCAGCTTTCTTATTGAAGGAGTAGATCGCCCTCTTGTGTATTATAAATTTGCTGAGTTTGCTCACGACGGAACGTAAAGAGTGTAATGGGAGCCCTTTAAGGCCAATGTCAAGACCAACAACTACTCGCGTTGTGAAGACCTTTGTGCCTTTGAAAGTGCCGATATAAACATTAACTACAAATTATACGGAAACAAAATAGATTTTTGATATTTTCAAAATCTATGTCAACAATTAGTTCTGCAGGATTTTTCGTTCCTTGCCAGCATCTGCTAGAGAGCACTGCTA